GCGTCGGGGTGTGGCCGGGGGAGGGGGAGGAGAGAGGGAAACATTGGTGATACATTTCTCCAAAATACCTGGATTCTACACTTCTCACGTTCTACAGTGTAAAGTAGGAAATTTTCGAGGGCATTCCAAAATTTCGCCTTGACTGGGAGAGTGGATTTTTATTTGCCTCGAAGACAGTCAGCAGTTGTTCAAGACAAACGGTCCATCAAGTGTCGCGTGGAGTCCCAGTTATTCTTGCTCATCCGCTCTATCTGCGCTTTCGGCACTAGGATGTATTGTAGGTACTATTTATGCAGACACCGGCAAATTGCCTGGTCCCCAAAGGCTAATGGGAAATTTGCTGTGAAGTCACCCTATGTGAAAAAAAGAAATAATGCGGCAAGATATGATTCCAAAAAGTTTTCGAAAGGATTTATACATTAACTCACCTGAACACAGATCAGCAGTATGAGAATTACCACGTTGATCACAGTATAAGTGTTCGTGACCACACTGTAGATAAACCAGATGACTTCACTTGCACCAGTGATGGCTTGAAGCACGAGATATGCGAAGAAATGCGCTGAAGAGAGATTTATTTCTTTCTGATTTCTGATTTATCGCTGATTTCTGAGGCTTATTTTGACTACGACGTAAAATACCCATCTTGACATTAACTCCTGAAACGGATTCCCACTAGATAAATCCGCGTCAATCATGGTAGGGTGGGAGTTTTGGGTCATTCTTGTTTAGTAACCTGAAGACTTATCTTTGCTAATGGGCGTACAGGATCGCGCGTATTTTATTAGTATGTACCTTCAAGAAAATTGGAGCTTTCAAGTTTTCGAGCTTGAAAATTCCTTATATTGCCCGATTATTGAGGCGTGCTCCCAATTATCTCGGATGGTACATTATTACTGACTGCATTACCAAGCATCGGAGCTACACTGCTATACATAAGGATTATCTATACGGACTTAAAGGCAAGGTTTGGGCTCCACCTCTCTGAAGTGGTCCCTAACGTAAGGTAGCCGTGACGAGGTGTGAGTAACGCCGCTGCAGAGGTTGCGCTACCCGCACATCAAAACTCGTCCTTAAGACGCCAGGCGCTAAGGGCTTCGACCAAGTGCCGCCTAAGCTATCAGGGTCCGCCCACATCGATATCTTAGCTGCGTCGAAACGTTGATCTGCTATGCTCTCTTTGCTCGGACTTCTCTCAACCTCTCCGCGAATCACATTATCTCTCATCTCCCTGCCTCCGCTTATCCTGTGTTTTTCACGATTTTCTTCCTTTTTTTCTCCCCTTGCGATCCATCTCCCCTCTC